GATAGGTGGCACTGATGGGCACTGATGAGGAGGCACTGGTAGGTTGCACTGATGGGCATTGACAGGCATCACTGATGGGCACTGAAAGGCAGCACTGATACATGACACTGATACATGGCACTGATAGGTGACACTGATAGGCGGCATTGACTGGCACTGATAGGCGGCACTGACAGGCGAAACTGATTGGCAGCACTGATTGGCATTGATAGGTGGCACTGACTGGCACTGATGGGTGACATTGAAAGGCAGCTCAGATGGGCACTGATATGTGGCATTGATGTGCACTGGTATGCACTATGTGGCATTGATGTGGCACTGATGGGCACTGGCACGTGGCACTTCTGGGTTCTGGGGCCACACTGATCATTGATGATCATTGTATATGTCCCCTCCGCGGAAAGCCGATTACCGGCTCTCCTCTCGAGCTGTCAGCGTGACAGCTCGAGAGGAGAGACATGCCGATAACCGGCATTTCCATGTTTACATGTGATCAGCTGTGATTGGACACAGCTGATCACATGACTGAGCCGACATCTTCAGCTCTTTCCGTGATCCACTGTGTCCGAGGGACACAGCGCACCGGCGATCGCCGCGCTGCGCGCTCCGAGCTGCGCATACGCAGTGAGAATGGTAGGACGTCATATAACGTCCTATCAGAACGAGAGAACCACCTTGCGCCCGTCATTGTACTATAGGGCGGGCGGAAGGTGGTTAAAGAGTAACTCCCCTTGGGGTGAGCTATGTACATTGCAAGGATTTTTACAAACTTTGTTTTGTTATTCTGAAGAAAGAGCTGTTTGTCTGTGTCCATGTGGAAAATTCAATTAATGGGAGTGGCTTCATAATTATCAATCATCTGCTGCACTTGCAAGGCTCTAATGAGGAACATTGCAGGATCTGCACCCCTTTAGACGTGATTTATTATTGGGAGTATGTCACCAAAAATTATATTAATGTTGCAGGGGATTCCTGAAATTTGACTTGTATCTAAGTGCAGACTTCTAGGAAAATCCGTAAGCCAATCACACACGGGAAATTATATTTCTGGGGGGGCATTCTGTGTACAGGTCACCTCCAGGTAGCCATATTGCATGTTACAGAAAATTACAGTGATGCAGATTGAAAAGGAAAGATAGTTTTTAATATTGTTCAATTACAATATGACTTTTTCCCATGATAGTAGAGTTACCCTTTAAAAAAGTAAAAAAAAAAAAAAATTTACAAGATTTAGGTCCCATAGATTTCAATAGGGTTCAGGTGCTATGTTTAGGGTATGCAGATGTTTTCCAGTTGTTTGGTTTACTTCCAATCAAACTATGCTCAGTTCACTTACACTCACCAGCCACTTTATTAGGTACACCTTGCTAGTATCTGGTTGGACCCCCATTTTCCTTCAGAACAGTCTTAATTCTTCATGGCATAGATTCAACAAGGTGTTGGAAACATTCTTCAGAGATTTTGGTCAATATTGACATGAGTTACTGTTGCCTATCATCTTGAACCAGTCTGTCCATTCTCCTCGGACATCAACAAGGCATTTTTGTCCACACAACTGCCTCTCACTTGATATTTCTCTCTTTTGGACTATTCTTTTCTCTCTTTTGGAATTCTTTGTAAACCCTAGAGATGGTTGTGCATGAAAATCCCAGTAGATCAGCAGTTTTTGAAATACTAAGACTAGCCCGTCTGGCACCAACAACCATGCTACATTCAAAGCCACTTAAATCCCCTTTCTTCCCCATTCTTTGTGGTGTTATTTGAATGGTAAATTGTCTACAGAAAAAGTATTTAGTAAGTTAGCATTTGCGGACTTACTAATGAAAATTTTCATTGCCTGGCAGTCCCTAGCTTCAACACCTTCTCAGTTACAAAACTGTTTCAGCTGCATCTTGAGTATGCTGTCCAATTCTGGTTAACAGTCCTCCAGAAGGATGTGCCCGAACTGGAGAGAGTCCAAAGAAGGGCAACAAAGCTAATAAGTGGGCTGGAGGACATACAGTATGAGGAAAAACCAACAATTACATTTATTCCCCCATGGAGAAGCAAGAACTGAAGTATAACTAACTCATGTAAAGTTTAGTTTTGCCATCTGTGCCCCATTGAGAACATTTTCTTCCACTTCCTGTCTCATAGCCAAAACAGGAAGCAAGTGATAATCTTTCTAAAGTGAGGGAATGCCAGGTTGTCACCAGAACTAGTGGTCCTATTAGAAGGTAATCCCAAGTATTCCTGTTCTGAAGGCAACCCAACGAATTAAATTCAAAATACTAAGAACAACAACTTACAAAGCCATCCCAACTTGGCCCCCAGCTACATCACTAATCCAGTCTCAAAATGCCAAATAGCTCTCTTCGTTCCTCCCAAGACCTCCTTCTCTAGTTCCCTTATCGCCTCCTCCCATGCTCGCCTGCAGGACTTCTCCCGAGGCTCCCTCAACCTATGGAATTCTCTACCCCAATCTGTTCAACCATCTCCTACTCCGTCCACTTTTAGGCGATCCCTGAAAACTTCTCTTCAGAGAAGCCTATCTGGCCTCCACCTAGCAACTACTTTTGTTTTCTCCATCAGCTCATCTCCCACAGTTATTACCTTTTGTATCACTTGACCCTCCCATTTTAGATTGTAAGCTCTAACGAGCAGGGCCCTCTGATTCCTCCTGTATTCAATTGTATTGTAACTGTACTGTTGCCCTTATGTTTTAAAGCACTGCACAAACTGTTGGCACTATATAAATCCTGTATAACAACTCACAATTTTGGATTTTCTTTCACGTTGTACTTTAATCCCTTGGCGCCAGCGCCTCCCAACCCTTTAAGGGCTTCAGAAGCCGGGAGGCAGGGTGGGGTTTTAGTGTCATGTGACCGCCGTGATTTGCTGTCACATGATCAGGAAAGGTCCCGATCGAAAGATAAATTGTTGAGACATCCCTCTGTGTCCACAACTATAACCTTAACATGGGAGGGGTGGACTTCAATGACCAGATGATAAAACCGTACTTAGATTCCTGTAAAGCCAGACCCTAGTACAAAAAAGTGTATGTATATTTTTTTTCATTTGGCTTTGTACAATGGTTTTGTGCTTAAAGCAACTGGACAAAGAGGATCCTTCCTAGAAATTTCAGGAAGAGATCATTACAGCCCTTTTGTATCCAGAAGGTGCTGTGGCCCAAATCCCCAACCCAGATGCAGTAAGCCGACTGCATAAGGCATTTTCATGATGTCATTCCTGGTACCCTAACCCAAAAGTAACCTAAAAAAAGATGTGTCTGTAGCAGACACGGAATTAGATGTGTCCCTCCTGTCCTGGTCAACCTGGTCTCTGCCTCTCAAGGACTGCTTCCGTCAATACCACACACTAGTGAAGTATTAATATAGGGTATAGCATGGCACAGTCTAGGGTACACATTTACACAGGATATCGAAAGATGTCAGGTAGTCCGGAAACTGCTTATCGCATTTTGAGAGAACTTAAAATCAGTCTGGAAAGTTTACCAGTTTGCAATAAAAAAAAAAAAGAATAAGTGTTTTATTGGAGTTACTGTTCTGCTTTTGTGTTTTATTGTTAACCATTGTTTTCTCTGCACGAATGCCATTCAGCTGCAGCATCAATCTGTTTATTCTGAAAGCAACAGGGTTTGCTCCCAGAATACACGTGAGTGTGGGCAGTACTGCTGGATGAGATTTATCATCCGTAGTTTAAAAAAAAAAAAAAAAAAAAAAAAGAGAAGAAAAGAACATATATACCCAAGCATGGGAGTCTGGGATGGTCTGTGGGTGGATTGCTCCTATGCTTCGGCATATATTTGTTTCCATTTTTTCTAGCAGAAATTTCTTCTTCCACATCGATTGATGTTAATGGAGGAATCTGTTGGGCTGAACAAAAAAACCCCTGAACATTTCATGCATGCCCAACATTAGAAGTAATAATACTCTAATGGTGGGCATACCTCACACTTCTGGCAGAGATTTTTTTATTCAGCCAACAGGCTGCATAAAAAAAAACAAAAAACGAACATATATGCCCAACAAGGACCAACAATGTACTGGTACATCACTGGACTTTGGGTGGTTATACCAGGTGATCCCTGCAGCTGAAAGGGACAGTGTAAAAAAATAAATAAATGGGAGCTCCCCCCCCCCGTCCCCCTGTGCTTGCGCGCAAAGGTGAATGCAAGCATCAGTCCCGTGTCGGTATGTAAACAGTGATTGCCCCATACATGTGAGGTATCACAACGGACATCAGATCGGGGGCAGTAATTCTAGCACTAGACCTTCTGCGTAAATCTAAAGTAGTAACCTGTAAAGGCTTTTAAAGCATCGCCTATGGATATTAAAAATGTATGTAGTTTGTCGCCGTTGCACAGTGTACACAGTTTTAAAGCATGCCATGTTTAGTTCTGTGTTTTTGTGAATTAAAAATTCAAAATAGTGTATTTTTTCCCAAAAATTTGCTAGGGCCTCACATACTTTTTCCTCCCTGCACTATGAATGTTTACATGTTATGTGCAATTAAACCATGGCACCATCTAATGTTTGTGTAGTATTATGTTCAGCAGACTGTGTTCTTCTATTGTTGTGACTTAGATGACGTTCAGAGCACATTTTATGCCCAATTCATGCAAAACTCCACGTAATCCCAAGGGGTTCACATACTTTTTCTTGCAACTGTATGTGGAATTACACTCCAAAATACATTCAGATACTTCTCCCGTGTATGGGGATACCAGATGTAAGAGACTTTGGCATTCTAGCTGAGTACAGGAGGGGTTTTTACAAGACCAGTCAGCCTGCACAAGTAAAGAGAGCAGCGGTGATTGGTTGGTATTGCTGGATTACTGCACAAATATGGAAGAATACACAAAGCACCAAATATCAAGTAAGAGCAGTCATGCCTCTTATAATTAGACAATATTGGCTTATCCCTAAGTTCAGCTTTAAGGAAATATGTTAATAAATTAAATCTCACTTTTATTATGGAAGTTATGTTAGCACACTCACCTGCAACTGCAAGATCCAATGTATCCTCATCGACAGACTCTTGAGAACAAAATTGCGTTAAAGGAGACAATGGATATGACGCATTAAGGTTTAAACCAAGCATGAAGTTATGCACTTTCCAGCTCTTCCTTCACGTGTATTGAATAGGGCAGTGTCGCTTACTAGAGCCATGAACATGCGTTGAACCCAGCTGGCTTGATTGTTTTTTTGATATTCTTCTTCAGCTTCAACATTTTCACTTCCTAAGTGAAATTGATAAAAATTAGTAGTCAAACACATGCTCTCACCCCTATAACAGCTTTAAAGGCTAAGTTCATCCTTTCCAGAAAATATCCTATGCAGCCAAGGGGCCCCAGTAGATGTTTAAAAAAAAAAAAAAAAAAAACTAACTTTGTAAAATGTTGGTTTTATTGTCGTACCTGTAGGCTATTTGTACCCCCCAGAAGCCTGGATAAAAATCTTTCAGTCAGCAACTCCCAGGTACTGCCATGTTGCAAGGACATGAAAACCACTGAACTCTCACTTCCAATATTGCAATGGTTTTCACATCCTAGAAACAAGCCAGGAGGTGGGCGATTCCTAACTGGGAGTTTTTCACACAGATATTTTTGAGGGCCCAAGCACAGGTATGATAATACGATTACTGAACAGGCTATTTTCTGGAAAAGTGAATTTATGCAGGCCCTATATGGGTCAAACTCCAAAAGAATTTTCTTTCAAAAATTGCAACTAAGAATTGTCGTTCGAATTTTGCACCATTGGTGTGCTGCAGCATCAGCAGATATTTCTGTGGCCATCAAATTTGAGTGATTGGGCATGTTGGGCATGTTGGAAAAACGAACACATTTCTAATGAATGTTGGGAGAATCGTGCAAGAAATATAATTGAAAAAGAAAGGAGCATGAGTTGTGACCTGGAAAGAAAAGAAAAGTCTCAACCATGAAAATGATTTTCTTTAGCAGGTGAAATTGAAGGCTTGGTTGGTGGAATTTCAAACTCAATGGTGGCACCATCGTGGCACCATTTTGCATTACAAAATGCACAAAACATCTGAAGATAATTTGTGCAGAAGTTGACCCATATATGGCCTGCATTGTTATGCACAACCCGTTGATTACCCATCATGTTAATCCCTTCGCAGCCAGTGTCATTCGTACAGTGACAGTGTATAGTATTATCACTGTATTAAAGTCTCTGGTGAAGTCAGTGGCAGTTAGTCAGTTTCCACCCAGTTAGTGTCAGATTGCACTCTGCACTATCACAGTCCCACTATAAGTCGCTAATCACTGCTATTCATAGCATGAAAAAAAATTCCAGTATACAGTTGTGTTCAAAATAATAGCAGTGTGTTGAAAAAAGTGAATAAAGCTCAAAATCCTTCTAATAGCTTTTATTTCCATACACACAAATGCATTGGGAACACTACACATTCTATTCCAAATCAAAATATGAAGACAAATATATCAAATTTGTGTTGTTCCCGTTTGCTTTCCTTTGAATCGCTTAATTAATATTTAGTTGTATAACCACTGTTTCTGAGAACTGCTGTACATCTGTGTTGCATGGAGTCAACCAACTTCTGGCACCTGTGAACAGGTATTCCAGCCCAGGATGATTGGACTACATTCCACAGTTCTTCTCTATTTCTTGGTTTTGCCTCAGAAACTGCATTTTTGATGTCACCCCACAAGTTTTCTATTGGATAATATCCGGGGATTGGGCTGGCCACTCCATAACCAAGATGTTGCACGTTTACTGGTGTTTGGGGTCGTTGTCTTGTTGGAACAGCCATTTCAAGGGCATTTCCTCTTCAACATAAGGTAGCATGACCTCTTCAAGTATTCTGATGTATTCAAACTGATTCATGATCCCTGGTATGCGATAAATAGGCCCAACACCGTAGTATGAGAAACATCCCCATATCATGATGCTTGCGCAACCATGCTTCACTGTCTTCACAGTGTACTGTGGCTTGAATTCAGTGTTTGGGGGGGTTGTCTGACAAACTGTCTCCGGCCACTAGACCCAAAAAGAACAATCTTACTTTCATCAGTCCACAAAATGTTGCGCCATTTCTCTTTAGGCCAGTCAATGTGCTCTTTGGCAAATTGTAACCTCTTCAGCATGTCTTTTTTTCAACAGTGGGACTTTGCGGGGGCTTCTTGTAGATAGCTTGGCTTCACATAGGCGTCTTCTAATTGTAACACTACTCACAGGTAACTTTAGACCTTCTTTCATCTTCCTGGAGCTGATTGTTGGCTGAGTCCTTGCCATTTTCGCTATTCTTCTATCCATTCGAATGGTAGTTTTTCACTTTCTTCCACGTCTATCAGGGTTTTGGTTGCCATTTTAAAGCATTTGCGATCATTTTAGCTGAGCAGCCTATCATTTTCTGCACTTCTTTATAAGTTTTCCCCTCTCCAATCAACTTTTTAATCAAGGTACGCTGTTCTTCTGAACAATGTCTGGAACGATCCATTTTCCTCAGAATTTCAGAGAGAAATGCACTGTAACCAGCATGTACAACATTTGCTGCATTCCTTCCTTAAATAAGGGCAATAATTGCCACCTGTTTTTCAAAGAATGAATGACCTCACTAATAGAACTCCACACTGCTATTATTTTTGAACATGCCCCTTTCAATTAGTGATTCAATTACACCGAATGAGCAGCATGCATGTCATGACTGTTGGGTCTGTTGGATTTCTATTACTCTAATACACCTGCTAGTAAATTATTTGCCATGTAGAAATATCATTTCTACCAAAAACAGTGATTGATCAGGTTAGTGATGTCTGACTGCTATTATTTTGAACACAACTGTATATACCATAGTTTCTTACCAAAAAGACATAGTAGAATGCATTTTAGCCTAAATTTATGAATAAATTAGATTTTTGTATTTGATAAGTTTTACAGCAGAAAGTTTAACATTCTGCTTAAACTTTGTGATTTTTAATAGTACTGCTTAGACCTTGAAGAAGGGGACATACCCCGAAAGCTTGTCCTCAAAATTGTATGTTAGTGCAAATAAAAAAAGTATCACGGACAGTACTCAATTGTTTCTACAGCAGAAAGTAAAAAGATTTTTTTTTTGTTTATATAATAAAAAACCCAGTGGTGATCAAATATTACCAAAAGAAAGCTCTATTTGTGTGAAAAAAGTGATATAAATTTTGTTTTGGTACAGTATTACTTGAAAAGCTTAACGCAAATAAATCACCAGGACCAGATGGCTTACACCCAAGAGTCCTCCAAGAAAAAAAGTCAGATTACTGCCAGACCATTAGTCCTAATTTTTATGAATAGCATACTAACAGGAATAGTACCAGCTGATTGGCGAAGGGCCAACGTCGTACCAATATTTTAAAAAGGGCAGAGATACATTCCTGGAAACTACAGGCCAGTCAGTCTATCATCAATAGTTTGCCAAGGAAAACAGCATCATTAGTAATCAGCATGGCTTTACGAAGTCATTCTTTCCAAACCAACCTGTTAACATTTTAGAAGGAAGTGATCTACCATCTAGATAAAGGAAGGGTGGTTGATGTGGTGTACCTGGATTCTATACAGTTTCCAATAAACTCTTAATTTGCAAACAGGTCTGTAGGTATGGACCAGAGAGTTTGTAATTGGATAGAAAACTGGTTACAGGGGCGTGTCCAAAGGGTGGTGATTACTAGCAATTATTCAGACTGGTCTGGAGCAGTAAATGGGGTAATTCCAGGGCTCCATCCTGGGACCAGTTCTTTTTAATGTTTTCATGAACATAGACGTTGGTATAAATAGCTCAATCTCAGTGTTGCCAATGATACAAATAACATCATAGAAGGATATATAAACCCCACAAGAAGATCTCAATAAAATTAAGGGGTGGGCAGATACATGGCAAATGAGGTTTAATGTTGAAAATTGTAAAGTAATGCACTTTGGGACTAAAAATATGAATGCAAGTTACATGATAGGGGGAAAACCTCTAGGGGAATTCAGTATGGAGAAAAATCAGGGGGTCATAGTAGATGACAGTCTTAGCAATGGCATGCAATGCCAAGCTGCAGCAAGCAAAGCTAACATTATATTTGCATGCATAAAAAAAGGGAATCTACGCCAGAGATAAAACTATAATTCTGCCACTGTATAAAACTCTGGTTCGACCGCATCTGGAGTATGCTGCCCAGTTCTGGTCACCATAATGTGCAAGAGCTGGAGAGAGTCCAGAGAATGGCAACAAAGTTAATAAGGGGTCTTGGGACATCAGTTATGAGGAAAGGCTACACACATTAAACTTGGAGAAGAGATGCTTGAGAGGAGATATGATTGCGATATACCAATACCTCAATGGTGGTTCTGCTATAAGGAATAAACTATTCTGTCTCAGGAAGTATAAGAATACATGGGGCCACTCAATGAAATTGGGGAAGTGGTTTAACAAACAGCGTGGGGGTATTCCACTGTCAATGTGGTAGGAATGTGGAACTCACTTTGGTAATGTCAACGGGAAGTATTGATAGTTTTTAAAGCTCTTAGATGGGCACCTTAGCGAACACAATATACAGGGATATAAGATATGAGTTTTTGACATGAACGCACCCACACAGGTTGAACTGGATGGACTATTGTCTTTATTCAACCTTACTATGTAACTATATGTAGTATACAGTATATAGCTGAATTAGGAGATTGTTGCAATCATAATCATACAGATGGGGAAGTATGTATACAAATGTGTGGGTGCTCCTCTTCAGATCCTATTTTCTCTAACTCCATCCACCCATATAGTCCTTGATTGTATAACAATATATCATTATCTAGGCACATCCTCATTGTTCTTACGGTATGGTTCTGCTGACCTTCTATTATATCCTATGAATAAAAAAACTTAGTTGTTCGCATCCTGATCAACACTACATCTATGTACAGACACCACTGGATGACTTAACCTAGTGTCAATGGTTATTAATTTAACCTGGATTGCTCACAAAGGACAGTCAAGCAGCGGCTGCCAGGTATTCAGTAGATGATCCTACCACTTCCTGAATGTCTGCCTTTTTTTTTTTTAAATTGGGGGGGGGGGGGGGGGGGGGGGATTTTGTATTGAAATACCACATTTCAACTGGAGCCAGCCAAATGTTTGCAGCTCACATCAACCTTAAAGGGAGGGTTTGCAAGCCAAGTTAAAATTGCAGCAGCCGTCATGTATACAGCCCCATCTGGCTGCAAAGATGGGCAGTCGGAGAGGTAGAACTGTGACTCAACTGTCTGTTTTTACTACCCTCTGGCAATCTGTGTGAAAGAGCCCATAGATTTCTGCAGACTCCACATGCTTTTCAGCAGCATAAAAACCCACTAAGAGAAAGACATTAACTATTTATGGTGTTGGAGGCATTGCTGTGTGTATATTACCCTCTATGCACAGTAAATTGCAATATAATAAGGAAAGCAAAACGGTTTCAGATAATGAAGACACAGGAGCACGGACTTAAAGTTGTTCAATGACAACAAACTGATTATGAACACATCTAGTTTTATTTACCGAATATATTGAAACTTGCATATTAAAGACATTACTTAATGCATCTTTGCATTTAATAAATTAAAAGAAATTGTTGTGGCATAATTTAGACAAAAATCCAGCGCAGGCATCAAAATTCAGAGTGTGGCCTCCCAAACTCCCGCAACTGCAGCTACTGGTCAGTGTATTCTGGTGGTGGGTGTCCCTGTCAGAATACAATGTCCCAGCAAAGGGGGAATGTTAATATTTTCATATTAAAGCAGTATTAAACCGAAAATATATTATATTGCAGCTTCCCAATCATTAGGTGTGGTGGCTGCAGCAGTTCTTTTCTTTGGCCTTTTCCCCTCTGTTTTCCTAGCGATTTGACCAATAGCACACTTCCTGTATTTGTGAGACACCACTCGGATGAATAAGCACTGGACACAGCAGACAGGTGGGAGTGTTAAATATATTAGCCAATTTGAATGCAATAACACATTGAATCCAAACTCCAGCCAACACTTTATAATCGGTTACAGCAAATCGGCTTGTACTCCTCACCTGCTTTCTGCCACACACGCTTGACACCATCTGAACCAAATAAGTTTATCTTGGTCTCATCAGACCACATCACCTGGTTCTGGTTCCAGTAATCCATGTCCTTAGTCTGCTTGTCTTCAGCAAACTGTTTCCGGACTTTCTTGTGCATCATCTTTAGAAGAGGCTTCCTTCTGGGACAACAGCCATGTAGACCAATTTGATGCAGTGTGCGGCATATGGTCTGAGCACTGACAGGCTGACCCCCCCACCCCTTCGACCTCTGCAGCAATGCTGGCAGCACTCATACGTCTATTTCCAAAAGATAACCTCTGGATATGACGCCAAGCACGTGCACTCAACTTCTTTGGTCGACCATGGTGAGGCCTGTTCTGAGTGGAACCTGTCCTGTTAAACTACTGTATGGTCTTGGCTATCATGGTGCAGTTCAGTTTCAGGGTCTTGCCAATCTGTGTATAGCTTACAACATCTTTATGTAGAGCAACAATTCTTTTTTTCAGATCCTCAGAATTCTTTGCCATGAGGTGCCATGTTGAACTTTCAGTGATCAGTATGAGAGAGAGCGATAACACCAAATTTAACACACCTGCTCCCCATTCACACCTGAGACCTTGTAACACTAACGATTCACATGACATTGGGGAGGGGAAAATTGCTAATTGGGTCCAATTTGGACAATTTCACTTAGGGGGTGTACTCACTTTTTTTGCCAGCGGTTTACACATTAATGGCTGTTTGTTGAGTTATTTTGAGGGGGCAGTAAATTTACACTGTTATACAAGCTGTACACTCAGCACTTTACGTTGTAGCAGTGTCATTTCTTCAGTGTTGTCACATGAAAAGATAGAATAAAATATTTACAAAAATGTGAGGGTGTACTCACTTCTGGGAGATACTGTATATCACTTTTCCATCAATCTTTATATGTAAATTAAGGGGATGATGTGCAGTAAAGTAATTATGATGTCATATATAGAAGACAACAGAGAATGTAATACTTACAGCGTAAAGCCCACTATTTCAAGAAAATCCATATGTTTACCTTTTGGCTCTTGTTGCTCATCATCGCTGTCTGAATTGTCCATGGTCACTATGTGCTTTGGTTTAATATTTTCTAGGTACAAAACAAACAAAAACATTTTATATTATTATATTGCCAGATGTAACAATTTATGAATATTCCAAAGATGGTTTTATAGTCCATTGAATTTAGTGCAGAAACAAAGCTGTAGTATCCTATGCGACATTTATCAGGCCAGTAGACTTAAGAAGGGAAAAGGGACATGGCTGGCAGCTTTTGCTGTTATTGGAAAGATGGCGAAAAAGTTAATCTTACTTCTTCCCTGTAACTCTTGACTGATCATCCATATCATTATTTCACATCTGTTCGTAAAGTACTGCAACAAATTTTTGCTAAAATGCTACCATAGTTGGTGAAGCCATTAGGTTGTGGTGTTCAAATAAGACTTTCCCATCAATTTCATCCCATCCTTATCCTCTCTGCTTTGTAAAAGCCACCCAACAGTCTTGGAAACATAAAGTAGTGGGTCAACTGAATGGCATGGTCGGAAAAAAAAATGTCCCACATTCCTCAATGTGAAGTAGTACCCTTTGTACTGCAGCACTGCTGACCACTATTGTACCACTGGTAGTGGCTGGTACAAAAGTAATTTTTTGTTACTGGTGTAGTCTACAGGACTCGGAGACCTGTTGGTATCTTACATCTCTTGGAGACTTCAGTAGTGAGATTTAATCATTAGTGAAGCTAACTTTTTGACTATACAAAAATATACATAGTTACCGTTACTACTGTAAATCATCCAGTACTTGAACACTGTTGAAATGCATGCATATTTAACCATTTGCAGACCTGCCACAGTAATTATACTGCAGCACATGCAGGCTCAATCATGTACATGTATTTCATTGTGCCTGTTCCGAGTTAGAAGCGTGCTGCACACTCGCTGGGGAGCACTGTGTGCCCCACTTGTGACCACTGTGTCTACTAGACACAGAGGATTACTGTTATCGATAACTGGGCATCGTGGTCGGTATGATTAGTTGTAGCAATCACATGATAATGTAAACAACCTGCCATGAATGGCTTTTCATTAACAGCTTGCTTACTGTTGTGATTTATAATCGTCCTACAGCAATCACACGGTATCTGGCTACCTGCACCAAGTGATTAGCTGTAGCCAATCAAAAATCACAATCAAAAGCAAGCGGTTCATGAATAGTTTATCCATTTATGATGAAAACTTAAACTATTGCTTATACAGTGATCTTCACTGCAGCAATAACAGGTGTAAAAATAAATCTCTGACCACTCTCCAGAACAGTGTCACTATGGAGGCACTGAACTACTCTGAACAGAATGTTATTAAAAAAATAGTAAAAAACAAAACAAAAAAACCCCAAAACAAACAAACATACCATCACCAGTCAGTGTCCCTGATCACTGCCACAACAGTCATATGGCGCTGTACTAGAACCAATGACAGTATGTGAAAAAAAAATTGTAACAAAAAATTACAACTTCAAAAAACTGGCCATACCTTTTAAATACCTCAGACTGTCTACTTTCCAAAAAAGGGTCATTTTAGGTTTATTTGTACTGTCTAGAGATGAGCGAATCGAAGTAGGCGAAGTCGGAAATTTCAATTTTCGGATTCAGACTTCGGATGCGCGAATCGAAATTTTTCCTAAAATGGCGGCGACATGTGCGGCGACGGAGCGGGGATGTCTGGGAAGGCGCGCAGACAAGGCGCGCTGACCCATAATGCATTCATTCATGACTTGTGATCGCATTAGCCAATCAGCAGCCAGCCAGCCAGCACTGTGTAATGGTCGAGCTATAAATGGCGGCCATTTTAGAATTCTCCATTTGCCTCCAGTCATTCAACAGAGGCAGACCTGGCTGTATTCAGGGAGAGAGTTAGGGACACAGAAACGTTACTTAGGGACATAGAAACGTTAGTTAGGGCCACAGAAACGTTACTTAGGGCCACAGAAACGTTACTTAGGGCCACAGAATTGTTACTTAGGGACAGACACAGAATTGTTACTGAGGGACACAGATTTGTTACTGAGGGCCACAGAACCGTCACTTAGGGCCACAGAAATGTTACTTAGGGACACAGAAACGTTACTTAGGGACACAGAATTGTTACTCAGGGACAGACACAGAATTGTTACTGAGGGACACAGAATCGTTACTTAGGGGCCACAGAAACGTTACTTAGGGCCACAGAAACGTTACTTAGGGCCACAGAATTGTTACTTAGGGACAGACACAGAATTGTTACTGAGGGAGACACAGATTTGTTACTGAGGGCCACAGAAACCGTCACTTAGGGCCACAGAAACGTTACTTAGGGACACAGAATTGTTACTCAGGGACAGACACAGAATTGTTACTGAGGGACACAGAATTGTTACTGAGGGCCACAGAACTGTTACGTAGGGCCACAGAAACGTTACTTAGGGCCACAGAAACGTTACGTAGGGCCACAGAAACGTTTACTTAGGGCCACAGAAACGTTACTTAGGGCTACAGAAACGTTACTTAGGGCCACAGAATCGTTTACTTAGGGCCACAGAATCGTTACTTAGGGCCACAAGAATCGTTACTCAGGGACAGACACAGAATTGTTACTGAGGGCCACAGAACTGTTACGTAGGGCCACAGAAACGTTACTTAGGGCCACAGAAACGTTACTTAGGGCCACAGAAACGTTACTTAGGGCCACAGAAACGTTACTTAGGGCTACAGAAACGTTACTTAGGGCCACAGAATTGTTACTTAGGGCCACAGAATCGTTACTTAGGGCCACAGAAACGTTACTTAGGGCCACAGAATTGTTACTCAGGGACACAGAATTGTTACTGAGGGACACAGAATTGTTACTCAGGGACACAGAATTGTTACTCAGGGACACAGAATTGTTACTCAGGGACACAGAATTGTTACTCAGGGACACAGAATTGTTACTCAGGGACAGACACAGAATTGTTACTGAGGGACAGACACAGAATTGTTACTGGGGACACAGAATTGTTTACTGAGGGACACAGAATTGTTACTGAGGGACACAGAATTGTTACTGAGGGACACAGAATTGTTACTCAGGGACACAGAATTGTTACTCAGGGACACAGAATTGTTACTCAGGGACACAGAATTGTTACTCAGCGACACAGAATTGTTACTCAGCGACAGACACAGAATTGTTACTCAGCGACAGACACAGAATTGTTACTGAGGGACACAGAATTGTTACTGAGGACACAGAATTGTTACTGAGGGACACAGAATTGTTACTGAGGGACACAGAATTGTTACTCAGGGACACAGAATTGTTACTGAGGTACACAGAATTGTTTTACTGAGGGACACAGAATTGGTTACTCAGGGACACAGAATTGGTACTCAGGGACAGACACAGAATTGTTATCAGGGACACAGAATCGTTGAATTAAAGAGTATGTCAGACAACATGCATAGGAGTGGCAGAGGAGGCAATGTTTTAGGAGCGAGCAGACGTGGCAGCAGAGGAAGGGGTCGAGGCAGCACTAGTCGCAGCCAGAGGCCAGTGCTCCCGGTGTCATCCAGCGGTCGTGTCTCCACCGACAACCTGCCGTCATCGAGTGGTTGGCTCGGTCGTCCTTCCTCTTCCCAGGTCCACCTCTGACACCTACAGCCAACGGTCGTCGGTGGGTACGTCAGACACAACCGTTAGTTGGCATGTCCCGGGAGCAAGCCACTGAAATCACGTGTCCTCGACCTGCCCCTGTCCTTTGGTGTTCGCCTCACCAAGCGAAGTATCGTATGCTGTGGGCTCAGCCCCACTGTACAGTGAGGAAGAGCTAACAGCGGGCGGTCAGGAACGGGGGGAGACATCCGCCTCTTCAGCAGCCAGGCGAAGAAGTAGTGGCGAGGAGAGTGGCTCGGTAGACCGGTCTAGAGACAGGTCTGTCTCCTGACCACACTCAGCCGAGGGGGCTAGTAGTGAGGCGGGTGACCCTAATTGATGATGATGAGGCTGATCGCACTTGGTAGCTCGTCGTCATCAGGCTATTGCTTCCGCATCATCAGGAGAAGAGGGTGGCAGCTTGGCAGCGAGCAAAACAGTCGGTGGGTTGCCCAGGAGGCAGCAGGGTCGCAGCAGTGTCAGTGGAGGCAAACGGCCACGGAGTAGAGCACCAGCTCCACTGCAGCCTACCACCAACGGCCAGTAGAGGTGCCGGTGTGCACGGAGGAAGCAGCACTCAGCCAGTGAGGAGTATCGGGGGAAAAGTTTTCCTACTCGGCGGTGTGGCAATTTTTTGTCAAGCCGCCCGAGGAAAGTAAACATAGCCGTATGTCAACAATGTGGCCAGAAAGTCAAGCGTTGGCAGAGGGCCCATGTTGGGACTACAGCGTTGCGGCACGCATATGCAGCGTCGCCATTTGGTGGCCTGGGAAAACCGTGATAAAGCTACGGCGGTTCTCCCGCCCCTGCCCCCGCTCCATCACCCGCTCCGTTACTTGCTCCGTCACCCGACGTCAATCGCCCTCCTATCAGCCAGTCAAGGCTCCAAACACTCTGCTTGAGGGGAGTTGTCGCTCGTTGGCATCTTTTCCGCTCGTTCTGATGCACCTTCCTCCTGCTACTCCTCTTCACGGATTCCGTCAGCAGTCTTTCTTGGAATCCGTTTCCAAGAGGACAACAGTTTGCGAGCAACGCACCCGACGGTGCAAAAGCTGAACGTCCTCCTGTCCAAGTTGCTGGTGCTGCAGTCCCTCCCTTTCCAAGGGTGGACTCAGCACCTTTCCGAGAAATGATGGCTTGTGCCGCGCCGCGGTGGACGGAGTGCCAAGCCGTCATTTCTTGCCAAAAAAGGCAGTGCCAGCCCTGCATTCAATGTAGAAGAGATCGGTGGGCCAGTCTTTGAGCATGTCGGTCTCTGCCAAAGTGCACGGGCAGCGCCGACGTGTGGAGCTGTAAGTTACTGGTCTAGGGACAGTACATGTCATTTACGGCCCATGGGTCGTGAACGTGGTGCCGTCAAGCCGCACCAGATTAAACTTGGACAGGTCACCGCCGCTTTTGCCTCCACGTTTGCACGTCCTTGGTCGGCAAAGATGTCCGCCCCTCTACCACCTCTTTTTTCCGCCGGTTGTCCTCAGCCGCCACCCCGTGCCAAGTCCCATTACCCGCTGGCATATCACATGTGCATGGGGCGCAACGGTGTCCACGCTGTGCTGCACCTGGTATGCCTGTGGCGAACGTAGTCACACAGGGAGGAACTTCTCAGTGTAATGAACAGAGGAAATCGAGTCAGATGGCTGTCTCCGCGCAAACTGAAAATCGGACCATGTTGACCGACAAACGGAAAGAACATGGTGTTGCTCTGCGTCAAGGAAGGTTGTGCCATGCGCCATGCATGGCTCACGTGTTCCAATCTGAATGTCAAGCGGTTCCTAAAATCCACCATCCAACTGCAAGACATCCTTAAAATGTTCACGTAAACTTTGCATGCATTTCAGCCATTCCTACACCGCAAAAGCACACCCTCCTTGAGCTGCATCGGCAGAAACGGAATTCACCAGCATCGCCTGATCTGCGACGTTGCAACAAGGTGGAATTCAACCCTACACATGTTGACCGCCTTTACGAACAGCGAAAGGCCATCACCGATTTCCTGATGTTACAAGCGGATAAAGGTACTCCCTGTGTAACTTCGATGTCAGCCATTGGCAGCCTCATGCGTGACACCTGCCGCTTGCTCAGGCCCTTTGAGGGAGGCCACGCTATTCGTGAGTCGGCAGGACTCTATGGGGATGAACGACGTCATTTCTCTGTTGCACGTCCTGGAACAAATGCTGTTAACAATGGCTGGTCAGGGTGCGGTAGACGTGGCGCACAGATCTCCAACGCCACATGACCCCTGTGGGGGCAAGACAGGAAGAAGAGGAGGAGGTAGAGGAGGACATTTGTGCTCCAGGAAATTATTGAGTGAAATGGGTGGTTTTTTTTCCACTCAGCGGACAGGAGTGGAGGAGCAGGAGCATCTGGTAGAGGAGGAGGAGGAGGAGACAGAGGACCCAGACGCACCGTGGCAGTATGCTGTGGAGATGGAGGCAGGGAGTCCCTCCGCATTCCTTGGCACAAATGGCCCATAGCATGCTCGGAATTTGCTTGCGTAGCGGGACAGCCGAATAAATAACCATCAGACAGAGAGGGATGACTTTTGGCTGTCCACCTTGTTGGACCCTCGCTACCGTTCAAAAAATGGTGGCCTTTTTTTTTTCACACCTGCTGAGAGGGGAGGCCAAAATAACGTACTATAAAAACCACCTATGTAGTCAGTTGGTCTCTGCCTTTCTGCGCCAACGTCCATCCTCAGACACTGTGGGGCCCTGTGCGCTCGCGTTCGCTGCCATGGCAGCAGGGGAGGGGTGGGGGTGGGTAGGTAGGAGCAGTGGCGCTCCCACCAGCAGCGGCTGCCTCAGTCTGCAGTCGATGATGAGTAGCTTTCTTCACCAGCGCAGTTGAGGAAAACTACTAACCAGCCGCAGCAGCAGCAGCAGCAGCATCAGGTGGACTGGAGCAGGACCTCAAACAACAGGCTTGGGCCTACTTGTGGACAGCACCCTGCCAACCGAGGTAGACAATCCCCTTGACTACTGGCAACGAAACTTGACCTTTGGCCCCAACTAGCTGGAATTTGCCCTTGCAAAGGCTGTCATGCCCGGCAGTAGTGTGGCATCGGAGCCGCGTGTTTTAGTGCGGCAGGAGTATATTGTAACTCCGCGGAGGACACGGACTGTCCACCCAAAGTGTGGAGAGACTCACGTTTGTGAAAATGAATCAGGCGTGGATTAGTCTGGATTTCAAACCACCAGTTCCTGACACAACTGACTAAATCCGCCATGAATCATGCCCCAAACATGTGCCACTTTCAGGTCTCCTCACACTGCTGGTGTGTTCCATTTTTTGTCATAGGGTGCTGGCAGATTACGGGCCTCCCATAGCTGCTGCCACCAGGCCCCTAATCTGCCATGGGCCCCCCCCTGTACCGCCTCTCATGCTGCTGCCAGGTCCACAGTGTCTCATGCCATGTGACCACTTTCAGGTCTCCTCACACTGCTGGTGTGTTCCATTTTTTGTCATAGGGTGCTGGCAGATTACGGGCCTCCCATTGCTGCTGCCAGGGCCCGTAATCTGCCATGGGCCCCGTGTACCGCCTCCTCATGCTGCTGCCAGGTCCACAGTGTCTCATGGGTCTCCTGTACGGCCTCCCATTGCTGCTGTCTCATCGCGACACTCTGCCATGTGCCCACTTTCAGGTCTCCTCACACCACAACTGCTGGTGTGTTCCATTTTTTGTCATAGGGTGCTGGCAGATTTACGGGCCTCCCATAGCTGCTGCCAGGCTCCCCTAATCTGCCATGGGCCCCTGTAACCGCCTCCTCATGCTGCTGCCAGGTCCACAGTGTCTCCTCATGCCATGTGCCACTATTCAGGTCTCCTCAGTACACACTGCTGGTGTGTTCATTTTTTGTCATAGGTGTGTGGCAGATTTACGGGCCTCCCATTGCTGCTGCCAGGCCCCTAATCTGCCATTGGGCCCCCTGTACCGCCTCTTCATGCTGCTGCCAGGCCTGTAATCTGTCATGGGCCCCTGTTGTCGCTTGTTGGCATATTCCGTATTCTCGTTCAGATGCTCCTTCTCTGCTACTCCTCTTCTCGGGATTCCGTCAGCAGTCTTTCTTGGAAAAATCCTTTTCCAAGATAGCGAAAACAGTTTGCGAGCACGCACCCGAACGGTGCAGTGGCGAAGGCTGAACGTCCTGCCCTGTCCAAGTTGCTGCTGTGCCAGGGTAGTTCGTAATCTGTCATGCGCCCCTGTACCGCCTCCTCATGCTGCTGCCAGGTCCAGAGTGTGTCATGGGCCCCCCGTACCGACTCCTCATGCTGCTGCCAGGCCCGTAATCTGTTCATGGGCCCCTGTACCGCCTCCTCCTCATGCTGCTGCCAGGTCCAGAGTGTGTCATGGGTCCCTGTACGGCCTCCCATTGCTGCTGTATCCATCGCCACACTCTGCCATGTGCCACTTTCAGGTTCCTCACACTGCTGGTGGTTTCCATTTTTGTCATAGGGTGCTGTATGGCCTCCCATTGCTGCTGCCTCCACCGCCACACTGTGGCTCCACACTCTGGTTTTGGCCCCCGTGACTGCCCAAATGAGTGAAGTGTGCGGTGATTCTAAGATCGACGGCACTCATCTGCATTGTCATACTGACTGTCAGTATTATTTCTCTTCCCAGCAGACTCCAAGGGCATTTAAATTAAAGGTACAGTGTTCTGCACTAATATAAAGGCTCTCTGAAGCCTAGAAACACCCTTTTATAAGTTAAATTCGCAGCGAATATATTCGACTCGAATCGAAATTTTTTCACGAATTCGCCGAATCAGTCGAATCGAATTTTTGAATAATTTCGCTCATCTCTAGTACTGTCGTGGCATTTTAAGCAGTTCAAAAAATGAGATAAAGCTTCAGGATGGATCCATATTCAAATATATGCAGCACCCTCCTAGTTAGCCAGGGGGAGCTAGCTAATTATTTGATTTTTTAGCAGGAGGCTGAGGAGCAACTGGGAAAGATCGTCAGAGGGGTCAATTTTGGGTCAGGGCTGAGAGGCTCTGCAGATCAGTTCTTGATACCTCCACTGATCTACAGACTTGGAGAGGTCTCTAGAACTCAGTGGGTGGGGGTGTGAGGAGGAACTGGTCTGCACTCTTAGGCGATCCTGACAAATCCCCAAGAGGCTTGGCATAGGGTCAGGACAGCCATTAAGAATGATGCAGCAGGGAGAGTTAGGGTGGAAGATGAAGTGAGCAGGATGGAATATGGAGCTGGGAGGGGGTCCAGGAGAGGAGCCTACCTACAGGCAGAGAAGCTGGAAGGGAGGATCTATCTTGGCCTCAACCATACCCTGAGGGAGACAAACAGGAGAACCAAGGAAGGAGCCAGCCCAGCAAAAAGCCTGAAGGTAGCCACCAACCCACAAGCTTGCAGGAGAGGACTGAGTAAGTAATCCCACACCCCCCTGGGCCAAATAAGAGTAGAGGACATACTGGTTGGAAACCTGAATAGCCCCATCTAGAAACTGCTGATCTTAACCACTAGCCTACAGGGCACTTATATCCCCTTCCTGCCCAGGCCAATTTCCAGCTTTCAGCGCTGTTGCACTTTGAATGACAATTGCGCGGGTCATGAAACACTGTACCCAAATGAAATTTTTATATTTTTTTTGTGACAGATAGAGATTTATTTTGGTGGTATTTAGTCACCTCTGGGATTTTTGTTTTTTCTTAAACCAAACACCACTGAAAATTTTGAAAAAAAAGTTTTAGTTTTTGTTATAAAATTTTGTAAATAAGTGATTTTTCTCCTTCACTGATGTGCGCTAATGAGGCTGCAGTGATGGGCACTGATAGGTGGCATGGATGGGCACTAATGAGGAGGCACTGGTTGGTGGCACGGATGGGCATTGACAGGCATCACTGAATGGGCACTGAGAGGCAGCATGATAGGCGGCACTGATAAGCAGCACTGACGGGCACTGATAGGCGACAGGCAGCTCAGATGAGCACTGATATGTGGCATTGATGAGTACTAAGAGCTGGCACTGATGGACACTGACAGGTGGCGCTGCTGGGGCTACACTGATCATCAGGGCTCTGATGATCTGTGTACATGTCCCCTCCGAGGTAATGCCGATTACCGGCTCTCCTCAACTCACGAGCTGTCAGCGTGACAGCTCGTGGGGAGAGAAACGCCGATAACCGGCATTTCCCTGTTTACATGTGATCAGCTGTGATTGGACACAGCTGATCCATGACCGAGCTGACGTCTTCGGCTCTTTCCGAGGATCGGGTGATCCGCTGTGTCTGAGGGACCAATTCGGTTAGAATGGATGTCTTATGACGTCCTCCCAGAACGAGAGAACCACCTTGCGTCCATCATATTACTATATGGCGTGCGGGAGGCAGATTCTGGGTCCCCCTTGCCCAGGGATTCCCTCAGGCAGTTGGGTGAAGAGGAGATTTCATCTGGGGTCTGAGGTGGTAAGTCAGGAGAGGATGTATCGCTCTTCAAAGAAGAGAAACCCTTCTGGGCATTTGTACATAGCTCCAGGAAGTTGTCCTCAGCTTAACAACTCCTTGGGCATCCTTTGTATCCCTCATCCCAACCAAGTTCAAATCCTCTAATAAAATTAAAAAAAATAACAAGGACTTTTTACGGTCTCTGGAGTGCAAGGCTGGAAGGATATGCATGTTGCCTGGCTGTGCAGTACTATAGGGGGACCCAAAACTCTGACAGCTAAAGGGGTAGTGCTACACTTCCACTATATTGCCAAAAGTATTGGGACACCCCTCCAAATCATTGGATTCAGGTGTTTCAAATCACCTCCATGGCCACAGGTGTATAAAATCAAGCACCTAGGCATACAGACTGCTTTTACAAACATTTGTGAACAAATGGATCTCTCTCAGGAGCTCAGTGAATTCAAGCGTGGTACCGTGATAGGTTGCCACCTGTGCAATAAGTCCATCTGTAAAAAATTTCCCTGCTACTAAATATTCCAGTCAACTGTTATTATTATTATTATACAGTATTTATATAGCGCCAAAGGGTATGCTCAGCGCTGTACAATAGCAAGGGACAGAACATGAGACAACACAGTAACAGTACAATACACGAGGGGTTCAAGGGCCCTGCTCTTTCGAGCTTACAATCTAAGAGGGAGGGGAAGGTGGCACAGGAGGAGATGGCTGTAGGGGATGGAGTGGCGGGAGGAGTGGAGGTGGTTAGTTGTTAGGTGAGGTCGAGTGTTTAGGTAAGGTTGGGGTAGGCATCCCTGAAGAGGAGGGTTTTCAGAGTGCGCCTGAAGGTGAGGCGGGGGTAGGCGACAGTCTGATGGATTGGGGTAGGGAGTTCCAGAGGATGAGGGAAGTCCTGAAGAAGTCCTGCAATCGGGCGTGGGAGGAGGAGACCAGGGATCTAGAGAGTAGGAGGTCCTGTGAGGAGCGGAGGGCACGGGTAGGGTAGTATTTGGGTATCAGGTCAGTTATGTAGTTTGGGGCAGCATTGTGAATGGCTTTGTAGTTCAGAGTTAGCAGTTTGAATTTGATGCGTTGGGCAATCGGGAGCAAATGAAGGGATTAGCAGAGGGGGGAGGCAGATGTGGAGCGGTTGGTGAGGTGGATGAGTCTAGCCGCTGAGTTTAGGATCAACTGGAGTGGGGACAGCGCTCGTTTGGGTAGGCCAGTGAGAAGGGAATTGCAATAGTCCAGGCGTGAGATTAGGGAGTGTAGGAGTTGTTTGGTGGTGTCTGGGGTGAGGAATGTGCGTATCTTGGAGATGTTGCGGAGGTGGAGCCTGCAAGATCTAGATAGCAGTTGGATGTGGGGTAGGAAGGAGAGGTGGGAGTCCAGGGTGACACCCAGGACTTTGGTGTGTGGGGTGGGGGAGATGGCGGCGTTGTTAGTAGTGATGGAGAAGATGGGGGGGCACGGGGTGGGGGGAAGACCAGGAGCCAGACTGTAGGGGGTCAAGGAGGTTGTTATCAGTGAGGTGGGCACTTAGGCGATTGTAGGCCAGGCGCTCAAGGAGCTTGGAAGTGAAGGGCAACAAGGAGATGGGTCTAAGGTTGTTAAGGTTGGTGGGGTCAAGGGAGGGTTTTTTGAGTATGGGGGTGATGTGTGTGTGCTTTAGAGGGGAGGGGAAGATGCCAGTAGAGAGGGAGAGATTGAAGATGTGGGTGAGGGAGCGAATGATGGAGGGGGGGGGGGGGGGGGGTGACTGGAGGAGCTGTGAGGGGATAGGGTCCAGGGGGCAGGTGGTGAGACGGGCTTCAGTGAATACCTTAGAGACCTCCTCGGGGGTAGTTGGGCTGAGGGAGGTGATGAGGAGGTGATGATGTGCGGGGTCATTAAGTATAGTGGGGGGTAGTGTGGCTTTGAGGTCAGGGGAGGGGACGGTTGAGGGGTTCAAGGAGGGAGGGAGGCTGGGTGGAGAGGTGGATTGTGAGTTGACAATGTCCTTACGGATTGCGTCAATCTTGTTTTGGAAGTGATTGGCAATCTCGTGGGCGGTGAGTGAGGTGCTGGGTGGATGTGGGGGGGGGGGGGGGGGAGAGAGCAGGGATTTGAAAGTGGAGAAGAGCCGATGAGGACAGGTGGAGAGGGTGTTGATAAGGGTTATGAAATAGGCTTGCTTGGCGGTGTGGAGGGAAGTGGTGTAGGCGAGGTAGGCGGCTTTATAGAGGGAGAAACGTGCAAGGGGATCTGGTTTTGCGCCATTAGCGCTCCAGCATGCGACTGCGTCGTTTGAGGCATTTCGAGTGGTCATTTTGCCAGGGTTGAAGCGGTTGGGGTCTAATGCTACGTGTGGTTAGGGGTGCCAGGGAGTCAAGGGCAGCTGACAGTGAGTCGTTGTATGCAGTAGTTGCCAGGTCAGGGCATGACAGAGGGAGGATACGGTCATACAGACGGTCAGCTGCTGGGTGGAGATGGGTCGGGTCCAGATTGTGGAGGTTGCGGGTGATGGTTAGACACTTCGGGGGGGGGGGGGGGAAGATGGAGAATGTGAGGAGGTGGTGGTCAGAGAGGGGGAAGGGGGTGTTAGTGAAGTTGTGGGGGTTGCAGAGGTGGAAGAAAACGAGGTCCAGGGTGTTTCCGTTGGAGTGGGTGGAGGACTGAGTATGCTGTGTGAGCGCAAAGGAGGAGGTTAGAAGGAAGAGTTGGGAAGTAGCCGGGCTGTTGGCGTTGATCGGGATATTGAAGTTGCCTAGGATGATGGTCGGTAGCTCGGAGGAGAGGAAGAAGGGAAGCCAGGACGGCAAAGTCATCTAGGAAGGGGGATGTGGAACCAGGAGGCCGATAGATTACCGCAATCCTTAGGGGGGTGGGAGAGAAGAGCTGGATGCAGTGGGCCTCGAAGGAGGAGAAGGATAGGGAGGGGGGGGTTAGGGAGGACCTGGAAGGTGCTCAGCGGTGGTAGGAGCATACCGACCCCTCCGCCTCTGCGTCCGCTCGGTCTGGGTGAATGGGTCCAGACGAGGCCTCCATAGGAGAGGGCAGCAGGGCAGGTGGAGTCAGTGGCTTGGATCCAGGTTTCGGTGACCGCTAGAAGGTTGAGGGAGTGGGAGACAAAGAGGTCGTGGATGGCAGTGAGCTTGTTGCAAACCGAACAGGCGTTCAGGAGTGCAACCAAGAGGGGAGGGGTGGATGTGGGGAGGAGAGGGGGACGGATATGAGACTGAGGGGGTTGCGGTGGTTGGCGTGAGTAGGGGGGGGGTGCCGGGGAGGGGGAGTGGGGAGATGGTGGGCCAGGGTTCGGGGAGATGTCGCTGGCGGTTAGGAGGAGGGTGAGGAAGGTGGCATGGGAACGGGAGGTGCAGGAGCGCGTGGGTCTGTTGGTGGTGGCATGTGGGTCGGCGGGGGGGCGTGGAGTATTAGTAGGAGGTGGTGAGAGCCGTAGAGGGGGGAGGGAAGAAGTGAGGGTGCGATGTAGAGCTGTTTCAGGGGGGGAGTAAGGGGGTAGAGGGAGGCAAGTTTGGGGATGGAGGAGAGGAGAACGAAGAGGAGGAGTGCAAGTGGCATGCTAGGGTGGGCAGAATGCTGATCGGGTCGGAGAGGGGGGAGGTTTCAGTCAGGACGTGAGGATGGGGAGAGTCCATTATGCCATGACGGAGTTCATCAGTGTCCAATCGAAGAAGGGAAGAGGGAGTGTGTGGGCGGCTGGGGCCGCAGTCTGTGGGTGCTGTAGGCCGGCGTCCGCGGGTGTTGTGGCACGACGTCGGTGGGCACAGTGGTGCGTTGGCTGGACGAGACGTGGGACACGGTGATTGGAGGTGTTGTAGGCCCGGCGCCAGGGGTGCTGGAGGCCCGGTGTCGGGAGGCGTTGAGTGCACAGCTTCGGGAGGTAATGAGGGCCCAGCGTCAGGAGGTGTTGGGTCTCCAGAGTTAATGGTATTATAACAATGTGGAAGCAACTGGGAACAGCAGCAACTTAGCCATTAAGTTGTATGCCATCTAAAATGACAGAGTGGGGTCAGCACATGCTGAAGCGCACAGTGCACAGAAGTTGTCAGCTATCTGCAGAGTCAATAGCTAAAGCCCTCCAACTTCAAGTGGCCTTCAGATTAGCACAACAGTGCGTGGAGAGGTTCATGGAATGGGTTTCCATGGCCGTGCAGCTGCATCCAAGCCCAAGCAGTGGAGACCTGCTCTCTGGAGGGACAAATCTTGCTTCTCTGTCTGACAATCCGATGGACGTGTTTTGGGTTTGGCGGTTGCCAGGGAGAACGGTACTTGCCTGACTGCACTGTGCCAAGTGTAAAGTTTGGTGGAGGGTTGATTAAGTGCGGGGTTGTTGTTTTTTTTTAGGGGTTGGGCTTGGCCCCTTAGTTCCAATGAAGGAAGTCTTAAGACGCCAGCATACCAAGACATTTTTGAACAATTTCATGCTCCCAACTTTGTGGGAACAGTTTGGGGATGGCATCTTCCTGTTCCAGTGCACAAAGCAAGGTCCATAAAGACACAGATTAGCGAGTTTGGGATGGCCTGCACAGAGTCCTGACCCCACACGACAGAACACCTTTGGGATGAATTAGAGCAGAGACTGTGAGCCAGGCCTTTTCAGCCAACATCAGTGCCTGACCTCACAAATGTGCTTCTAGAAGAATGGTCAAATATTCCCATAGACACACTCCTAAACCTTGTGGACAGCTTCCCAGAAGAGTTGAAGCTGTTTAGCTGCAAAGGGTGGCCAACTCAATATTGAACCCTACGGACTAAGGCTGGACTGTCATTAAGGTTCA